GATGTCTCTCAGCCACATCCCTACACACATGAGGCAGCGGGAATCTCTGCATTTGTAACAATCTATGGCTGCAAAGGAGGGTGGTAGGCAAAGCAGCTGTATCATAACCAAAATGCTGAGTTCGATTATCTACTGCACCACACGTACACACATACTGCATCAATGGCCTCAATTCATAAGAGCAATCACAATGATGATACATAAAATCTATGGAAAAAGCATGCATTACTCACTGGGTTTTATTCTTCAGCTTCTTCAGCATGTAATTCTTTACGCTTTATAACGTAGTAGGTATGAAATGAAACATTTTTCCTTTATTCCACTGATGCCGCTGTTTGAATACCAATAGATACCAAGGACAATAGGCAGGATCAGCTCGAACATTAAGAGCAAATATTTAATGGAAGACTGGTTACCCCCGTCTCTCCCTTTCACATCCCTGCCTCATGTATCCAGGCACGGGTGGTACTGGCTCCCTTGAGAGGCTGTAGCTAGCAGCCGAGGCACAAACTAAAACATGGCATGGATGTCAAGGAGCTGATGTCACAAAACCAAGTATTTCTCTGATAAAACCAGCGATTCCATTAGGGAAGTCCTACAAATCGATAGAAATTGTTCTGCTGAACATGCTTTGTTATGCGATGCACTGCAGCACCAAGAGTGATAAATCAGATCAAGATCTGTCAGTGTAAATAAGAGGCTACAGTAACTAAGTTATAAAACTGCCAATCAGATACCATGCTTTGTATCCGGGTACGAGGAAGGCTCTCACTCATAGGCACAGAAGAAAAATACACACCTAAACATTTCAGAAACAGGCTTTTTTAACATCAATTCCAAAAGAATAGCTAATCTACTGAAAAAGTAAAAATATTTTTAAATACAAAAGGCTGGCCTAAAAGCCTGCCATCTTTACCAGGCAAGATTGTGATAAAGTATCCGAGGCTCCAGGCCAGCAGATGCTAGAAACGCCTATGAGAGGTCACATTCGGGATCTGGGAAGAGCTACAAGATGTTTTAGGAATCCTGCCACCTCACCCACATAGCAGCACTGCCATCCCAGTCTCTGGGGATGGGTTAACTCTTTTGAAGGTAAAAGGTACTGTTTCTACAACAGCAGCCATACATTTATAGTGGGAGCTGGGTCTGGCATGAAAAAAAGTGCAAAAATTCAGGAGCAAAAGGAATAGAGACAATACAAGTTCAGATGCTGAAGACTGAAAATTCTACCTTGCAGACAGCATTGCTTCAATATAAGAAGGCAGTTCTTCAAGCACAAAAAGAACTTTTCTTAAGGAATGCAAACAGAACTGAAATACCAGTCACACACTTAGTTACATTAGTGGATTACATGCATGTCAAGTTTTGCTGGCTGGTACAATCTCAAAACTATATCAGTTTCACAAAGGTCCAGGACAGATAGCAGTTATATTATTAGATTTCAACATAAATGCAAAACATAAGTGCAAATTTCTGCACTCTTCTTCCAAAACATTATTGTTCTGAAGGAACTGGAAAGAAAAACCTACAATTCTACAGAAATTCACTGCAAATTTATTTGCAATTTCGAAGATCACATACTATTAGAAATAGTCACTCCATGACCTATTATGAACAAATTTGAGCAATATATTGATAATTAAGTATTTTAGCAATTCAATAGTTTTGTTTAAGAATTACATTTCAAACTGTCTGCAGGTCTGTAACAAACTAAAAGTCCACATTTAGAGACTGCTAATTTAAGTAACATCCCATTTTGGACAGAGAAACTAGTTAACTGCTTATTGGTCTCTGGAAATAACTTGAGGCAAATTCATAAGCTCCTTTATAGTGTAAACATGATGCTGGAGAAAAGTGCATACTTAATATTCTGATTTTTTAAAGTTACTTCCTATGAATGTAACTATATTGATAAAGCCATATAAAATAAAAAAAGAATTTGAAACATAGCAAATATTTTCTGAACAAAGGACAGTATTTTAGTCCTGTCAAAATAAATAGTCCTTTAAATAAACTATATCACCAATAGCAATAACATTTCCATACAGTCTAAGTACAATGCAGGCATTTGTTGTATGCCTTTAGCTAACAAGCAGTAACACTGAATGCATTAGTTTATGCTAAATTAGCACCAATACAATTTAATAGGTCTGTTGTAAAATAACTTCAAAATAGTTACAACTAGGCCACAATACCAGATTTCCATGCAGGGCCCATGGATGCAAAGAGGCAATATGCACTGAATTAATCCGTTATATTACGAGAAACCTGACCACAAATCACTCACCGAGCACATCCGACTGAACAGGCTTTTTAAACAATCAAAGTATGATTCAATGTGACCTGTAAAACCATGTAGGGAGAAATACCCTACAGACAGAATAACCAGGTCATCTGAGCCACACTAATCTATGTGCTACTGTAGTTCATCTCATGGTTTGAGATAACTAAAACATCTCACAAATTAACACAAAAAACCCTTCTGTACTAAAATATCTACACTTTTAATGAGATCATTAAATCACAGTGAACTTTATTAGGCCACATTATTTGCACAGATACCCCTTTAAACAACAGCTTTTTCTCTCCTCCAGTTAGCTTACTGTTCTTAACAGTATTTCACATCAGTTTGCTTTGTGTTTTCACAAATAAGGGTAAATAATTCTATTTGGGAGTAGCACCAGTCTAGGTTGGTACAACACTATTATTTCCTCCTCTCTTTAAACAGCTACAGGAATGGAAGCAGCGCGAGAGTCAGCTGGTTCTTTCAGTTCCTACATTGGGAAACCAGAGTGGCATGGATGCCCCTGTGAGTTCACTCCCTACAATTTTCATCCAACAGGTCAGAAGCAAGATAGAAAAAGAAAACAAAATAGATTTCAGCATGTTGTGAAACGGCCTTGAATAGTGTAGTGATGCCGGACTTGGTTGTTCCATTCTTAGTTGCAGAATTAAGGGGATAGGTACCGCAAAGTTAGAAATGTAAAAAAAAAAAAAATCAACTGTTCCATCTTCACTGAAAGACAGCTGTTTCACAGAACACAGTCTGAAGACTTATGATGGAGTATTAACACTTGTATTTACATTTGGCACCAAAATTTGCCCTGGTAGAACATTTACAGGCATTCTAAGGCTACCTAACCCTCAAATCCATCAGTTTCTCCTTTACTGTAGTCCTCACTAAAGTCAAAGGCACATAAGACATTGAACATCCTACAGCATCATCACCGAAATAAGATTTGGGAAAAGTAACAAGATACAGGGAAAACCAAAACTCTTACTGTTGCTATTTTCTGTAGATACAGAGGTTCAATTTTTGCCTGCTGATGCAAACCTGACACCTCTCCAGGGAAGAGATTCAGTTTAGGATATAATACCTTCTATAACTCAGGTCCCAGAATAAAGCAGTGTTCCTTTTATACAATTCACATCAAGAACATATTTAGATACTCTTTCCAGAACAATCATGAAACTAGAGCCTGAAAATATCTTCCCATCAATATTTTCAACCTGTTAAGCTAACCTGAAAAGTGGCAGCATAGTAAAACCTATACATTTTCAATATACAGTAAGATATAACCACACAGTCCTCACTTGACTTCTAACTTACAGCCAAGCAAGTATTGAAATTAAGTTCTGTTTGTAGAAGCACATTACATGATACAGCAAGGTGGACTGGTTGCCCATTTCCTTCTTGAAACTTGAGCAAAACTAGTAAGAAACCCACTGAACTCCTAAATACAAGAAAGTACACAAACAAGGCATAAAAAAAAAACCTTAGATATATGGAAAATAGTATATTGGAAACAGCTATACAAATGCTTGTCAGGCTCACCCTAAAACACAAGCAGGGAAGACCACATAGCTGTCTTTTCTCCTTCTGAAAAAAAAAAAATGAAGCGTCTCAAGGAAAATTATTTCTTTAACACTTCTAACCAGCCTTGAAAACAGACTTTACTTTCTCCAATTGGCTGACGGACAGCAGGTATTGTATTGTACATTTACTCTTTTTTCTTTCTGTAAGACAACTTTAATAACCTAGTCACAACATGAAAGCTGGTCTGGTTTTTACATTTACTTTCATCTACTGTAGTTTAAATGCAAAAAAATCATATTTAAACTGTAAATTTTTTGTATTTATTCCATCTCACTCCATCTTCTAAATTTCAATAAAAATTCTCAACAGAGCAGTTATTAGCACATTAGTATTATTTCTCTAGTTAAAAATACTATTCATAACTATTGACCGCTGCACCACACATTTTTAGCCAGTCTGTCAGTGCAGATCCTGATCAACCAAGTAGTTTTCTCCTAGCATGCATTATTTGCTTTTATCAGCAATTAATTTTATTTGTTCCTGTATCTTCCAAATATAAGAGCAAACATCCTTTAGTTCTTCAGTTAGCTTTTACTCATACTACTGTGACTAGCCACGCATCATCTGGTAACTCTGTCATTCCTTTCCTTAATATTTACAAAGATATGATCTAATGTACTGATGACATCCTTCCATAATAAAAATGACTATACAGCTATTTAATCCTTTTATCCCTGTGCAGGTTAAGTTACTGCAATACAGGTAAACCACATCCTGGAGGCTTATCTACCTTTCACAGAATTTTTTTAGAGAATAATAACCTTTTACAAAAAAGGCTGTATCTCCCTTTTCTTCAGTGAATCACTTCTTTTCCCTATAAGGTAAAAAAACAAAAGAACCACAAAAGCAAAAGGACCACATTCAAATATGCATCTAAAATTCTGACCTCCTTCTCCCAATGTATCAGCTACTAGAAACCAGTATTAATCCTCAGAACTGCTGAAACAGTGCTACATTGATTTATGTAATTTCTCTGTTGATAGAATATTGAACATTTTACATTCTACTAAGAAACCACGAAACAGATATACATGTATGTCACTCTATGAAAATCTTTCAATATAATTATTTTCCATGCGACTGAAAAAATTAAGCTAAAATTTGGTAACATTGTAGTACTCACTATCTTCTCCTGGACAAGGCATGCCGGGTTTCTCTGGAATACTTGGGAAGACTAAAAACAAAAACATTAGATTTTTAGGTGAAAAAGGTTCCAAGTAGTACTTCTTCCTCAATTCTTGAATATATTTACACAAAGACAGTTTCCAGAAGTATTTAAATAACTCCGTATGAGAAATAACGTAATCAAAATTTGCATCCATACTGACAAGATCTTATACTTGACTACAGCATTAAGAAATCTGTGCAGTTTAGAACTTGAAGCCCCCTCAAACGCTCCCGTATAGCTTCAGCTTTGGGCTCCACCCCCAAGAGCACACTTCCTTCTTACAACATTAAACTATAGGGCACCATAGTTTAGCACATAGCACATAAAGAAGAGTTATCTGATGGGCAAAGGAGTTGTTCTAATCTCACATTTAAGAAGCTGTTAGGATTAACAACAAACGCATACGGGTTCTTGAAGTGTGTAATACTTGCCGTGAATAATCAGTCCTTCATCTCTGTTTTGACAATACAAACGAAAGGCTTCTTCCAGTTCCATCTGAGAAGAGATGGTACATGGGTCGCCTAACAAAAAAGCAATACATAGGCAAATTTAGGACTGAAGAATTAAGTTGAGAACTTCAATTAGTCAGTAACAAATATACCAGCCTCCAGGATTGCTTTTCTTTCAATCATTTGATATTAAGCTGGCGTTTTTATCAAAGCCAAAATACATCAATACGTTTTTTTCCTTCTAATTTTACCAAAACTGAGTACATAGAAATATACTATGTTGGTTTGCAAGGGGACAACAAAATACAGAATTGAATAGATATGCTTAAAGATATTTGATACATGGCAGAAAAAAAGCAAGATTACTTCCTAGCAACCTGAAAATTTAAGTTTAATTTGAAATCAATTTACCCTTTGTTAAAAGGCCCATTATCTTACTACCTTAACTTCAGAACATGATACAGTAACTTAAAAGTTATGAAGGTACAAATAGATTCTAGTTGCATCTCTCTTGCTAGACTGACAGAAAAGCAATCTATGATTAAAAAGTGTAAAAAACAAGAAACACAGATGAAAGTTACAGATGGGATACAAATATGCCAATACTGATTTAGAGATCTAAGAGAAATTAATTTTACATTAAAGTCTCTAAAGTTTTTGGGATTTGCTTGTCTGTTTTGAGGAAAGTAAGTTCACATTTTTTCTTCTAACTTAGTTTTCGAAGAAAAGCCAACAAAAAAAATATCAAATCATGAAACCTGCCTAGCCACAAACAACCCTCTCTTTCAGCAAAGACAGACATCAAGCCTTAGTTTCTATGACTTTGTCTTCTGTATCCACATTCAGTAGCAGATTCAACAAATGAAGCTTTTAAAAGTTCTCAAAAAGGCAACATGCCAGCAACAATTTAAAGTGTATTCTAAAGAGCCTATCTATTAAAAGAAATGAAATAGAAAAACCCACACACCCCAAACTACAAGATATTCAGAATGAAATTCACAGGGAATATAAAAATAAATGAAGGCACAAGCATTACCACATACTAAGGCGTGGGCTCAAGTACCATGCCTTATCCACACCTAGTATTATTTCAATACTAGGTTTTAATGTTGTCATAGCTAAAAAAGCTACCTCACAAAGACACAGATACAAATGAAAGAAGTGCACCACTGGCTGCACTTAACTGTACTATTGATTCTGCAATTCCATCCACCCCTTATGCAAAGCTTGTGTTGGCATTCCGTTCATAACTTTTCATCTTCCTTCATGTCAATCTGAATGTGTTACATTTAACTAATGTGTTCAAAACTCACTGAAACTGTTTGGAAGAATTTAATAAGGTCAGAAAACTCCGTTTCCAAGTTTAAGTGTACCAATGGAACAACAGAAATAACTCCTAACAGCCATTTTCAAAGTCCTTTCTCCATATACCATGAGTTCCTCTTGAAAAGCAGTTACTTTGATGGTCATTGGGACGGGTTTTTGTGGGTTTTGTGGGGTTTTTTT